CCTGCTGAAACGCAGTCAGCTCCGGATAGGACCGGGTATGCCACCGCTCCTGCAGGTAGCAGGGACATCAGCATCCATTGCTCTTTACTTTTGGAACTATCTGGTTTTCTAGCAAATTAAACCCAGGCGAGCCCTGTTTGTGCAGCTCCTTGTCCTTTAAGACACAGTTTGGATAGTGATATTTAGCAAACACCTGTAATAGCAGCAAGGAAAAAAGCCTGGGAGAGAAGAGGATGGCTATGCCTACGTGTTAAGGTGAAAGCTGCTACGTGAACACTTGTGGTGCATGGAACACTCCTCTCCTCTTTCCTGAGAAAAGCTGGAAGCAAAACCCTGAGGGCATTTCTCCAAACTCTGTTTTCTCCAGCAGACCAGAAGGGAGTTCTCCCCACCAGACAGGATGGAAGAGGATAGGACAGCAGTGCTGGGACCAATGTACAGCCACGCCGAGCATCCCTGGGCACCCACAGCAACGCCTGGGTACATCTCACCAGCTGCCAGACCAGTGCGTACCCAGGACCGATGCTCTGGTGTGGGAGCTTCCCTGCTCCTGACATTTATTTCACTCCCAAACGGCCCTGACTCCCAGCTGTCCTTTCACCTCCCAGTGCAAATCTGGTGAAGGCAGGTCGCTACACATCACTTCCCAAACAGTTTACAGGTACTTGGGCAATGCCGAAGCCCTTTGTGAGCCAAAATCCTCGCTGACCTAGCGGAGGGGGAAGTGTTCCCAGAGGGTAAAATCAAGGCAGGAGCTCACAGTTTAGCTTTGGCATTCAAAATTCTGCCCACCCTGCAGCCATGGGTCTGCAAAAGGTATTTGCTAAACACAGACAGCTGTCAGAGCAAGGGCAGTGCCCTAAAATCACATCCAAGACTGGTTTCTGCACCGAGCAGTGTTTAAAATGACCGATCTTTGCGAGAGAGCTATGAGAGTAAGGATAGAGCACATGGCTCCTACACAAGCAACTTTTCCCAGGTTTCCCAAAGCTGCTGGGAGCAGGGCAGAGCACAGCCAGGGAAAGTATTAAATGCATTTCATTTCTGACAGTCAGAGGGGTATAATAATGAGGAAAACACTAAACTGTTGCCACCGCTTGCAAAGGAAAACCATGACAAAGAATACGTTGATGACCCCTCGCTAAATACGCAGGTGTGTTTATTTATATCCCGCTTAGGGAGCAAAAGTGACGCGCACGCAATTAAGAACATTTCCGAGCCACCACCACAGCAGGCTATTCGAAGTGCACGCATACTGGTGTCACGTGGAAAGGCAGAGCCTGGCCTCCACTAAATGGGGTGAAATCACGGCTCCTAAAATGCAAATCCAGCCTACAGCTCCTAACCACTCCCACGGGGAGTGTGCATTCGTGGCATCAAACAGCCTCACCCCGTTCGCAATCACGCAAAAATATGATTTCATACCCAAAGCACCCACCAGAACGAGGAGCACCAAGCTCCACCATGCTCTTCCCGCGGGCGGGATGGCTGGAGAAGGCTTTCCACCCAGCCCACACCACTTACAACTGAGCCGCATCCCCAGGGCGGCACGTTGTACGCAGCCTCCGCTGCGGACCCCTGACTCACAAGCCTGCCAGTAAGAGAGGGCCTCTGCATGGGAGTCGACGGGTATTTTATCTCCTCTGAAACACATTTAGAAAAACTCAGCTTTTTCCAAGAGCTCCCCGGCATGTGTCAGCCATGACGTCACCCAGAAGCCAAGCAGCTGTCTGCTGCCGGCACTGCAGTGCCTCACTGCTGATATACATGGAGAAACACTTTAAAATACACTCATCTACTTCTGTTGGCACTTCTACGTGCAGACATGCCAGCAGGTGTTCCCTACATGTCTCCCCAACAGACGTGCCGTGGCTCCCTGACCCACCGCAGGCACAGGAGCCTGGCGCAAGCAGGAGCATCCAAGCATCAGCAAAACCCATCCGCGCTGCAAGCCTGAGCAGCACCGGTCTCCACACCGAGGAGTACGAGACGAAGCAGGGACCACATCCACGATGCCCCCCGCAGGGTGATGGGGAGCCAACCCCAGCGAAACAGCCGTCAAAACCAGGATGACCGCTTCGGTTTGGGGTCCAGATCCCCTGGGGAGGCTCAGAGCCTTCGGTAAGGTGAGATCCAGCAGCGTGGTGGGTGGGCATCCTCTCCATCCCACCCTCAGTGCCTGCTTCTGAGTCACCCGTAGGAGGACCCCCAAAAAGGCATGTCCCCCAGCCCCGGCTCCAAGCAAGAAACCACGCATCGCTGGAGCTCTGGTTTGTCCCCACCCCACCAAGGCACTCAGCACCTAAATAAGCCTTTGGCTTACCAACATTTTAAGGAAAAGGGGGAAACAGAGGGGAAAGTATTTCCTCTTTTTGCTTGTTTTGATCATTGTGAGGCACAAAATGCATAAAGTATGATTTCTCTCAGAACAAAGGGATAGCACTGAACAATGCAAACAATTTAGCATCAGGCCAAGTCCTCAGAATTAATAAAGTTTAGTGCTAACAGGTTAAAAGGCTATTCAAGGTAGTACAGATACTACACACGGCCAGTTACTTTGAAAATATGCTATTAATATTATTGTCTAATATTAATATTTTGTGAATTAACAGTAGCATGCAGGTGACAGAAAAGGGTATAAGAAAAATTAGGGTAAAACTCACATCCGGGTGTGGAATAGCGTATTGTCCCTGAATTGTATAGGCCTGCAAAAGAAAAAAAAAACCACATTATTAGGGCTGGCAGGAGGCAGCGGCAAAGCCCCATGTCTCTCCGCGGCGACTGCTGTCCCCAGGATTTGCTCCTTTCTGCCTGATGCTGTTAATGCAGGAGCTAACGAGGAGTTCAGCCCCCACCCTGCTCTGCCCGGGACCCTGTGCTACCCCCAAATAGCTGAGCGTGGGGAGGCACTGGCACACCTCCACTCCAGTGAAAATGCGGTGCGGAATCTTGAATTTTGACTAAACCAGCTTGATTTTGAGGCTGGATGGGATAAGGGAATTGCATGGAGCAGGAAGACTGGGCTTCACTGTACAAAAGACATTCATCCAACCCGAATTATCTGTGTAGCGGGTGCACGGTAACAATCCCACTGCCCTTGGCACCAAAATGTGATCCTACAAAGCGAGCCAGTGCAGT